TTTAGCTTTATCTGGAAGTACACAATTATAATGTAGTTAGCTATACTAGCTTTATCCATCATCTGCAGTGCACTGGCTTTCCATTTTTCTTATTGGAAGATGGTTGTATTTGTATATTTGTCACCACATCTTTGCTTAATGGCTAATGCTGATGCCATTAATCTGTTCATCATCAAGTGACAATTGCAGCACTTCACGCAGCTTTCTCGATGTTACTGATATCAATACTGGGTTCTTATGGAAAACTTCAGTCCAGTATAGGAACTATTATTCATGGGTAAACTATAAATCTCATCCCTGAATTTAATATATTCCTATTTTGGTCACAAACTTTTAAAAATTTCAATTTGATCATTCAATTATGATATTGTTTCATTTTTCACTCGCCGCTAATCATTTAACAATGTTATGACAAGACATCTATTTTTACAAATTATGAAAACACCTTATTTTTTAAAATTTATAAAAATATATTAAATTTTTCCTTGCCAAAATTTTAACTTATTTTTTTAAATTCCTTTTAATTTTTTGACTTAAAGTATTTACTTCCAAATCCCGACAGTGGAGAGGTGAAGGAGGAGACAAGAAATATGTCATAATTCTACCATGATCGATCGATTGGTATTGTAGATCAGAGTCGTTTCCTCCAAATTTTGGATTGATTTTTTTGCAAGTTTCAAATAGATTTTGAGAAAATCTAAACACATAAAATGATATGAGAAAAATAAGGTGTGTTCATCAATGTTTGGGTAATTGAAAAAAAATCGAAGAACAACTACGTCGATGGCGATATGAGATGGAGATAAAACTCTAAAAGTTTTACAGTTATTGGAAAGATGATGAAATAGGAAAAAAAATTAGATGACTTTCACATAAGCATAAATTTAGGCCACATTAGCAAACAATAGATCATGCTATCCAATTGTTTCTAATTTAACACTTGAGTGATAAAAAATAAAACAATTCAAAAGTTGAATGATCAAATTATATTTTTTAAATTTGGTAACCTAAATAGGAATATAATCAAAGTTGAGTGATAGAAAGTGTAACTTAACCAATAAAAATTCCAGTAAAGTAATTATTTGTAGTTCTTTGCTTGCTATGAGCCTATGACCTACATTTCCCTAAAAATATTTTTTGCCCAGTTCCCCTAATTTTGATAATCAAACCATAAAATTCAGATCTTTAAATAAACACTGAAAAAATCCGGACCTGGAACTTCAAAATTGGTAACAGTGGTGCATTCTAGAAGGGATAGGTTTGATTTGACTTAAAAAAATGGATTGGGATTGGAATTTTACGAATTTGGTTTCTCTGGTATGTCTGGGATTTGCCGTATTTCTGTATTTTCAGTTTCAATCTCCATCTTCTTCGCTTTACATTCATGGCTTGGCTGAAGACGCCTCCCTCAAGTCCATATACCACTTCACGGTCAAGGTATTCCTTTTTTTCTTTCAGTTTTTTGGATTGGATTTTGGATATTATTACTATTACTTTGATGGGTAAAACTTGAATTACTTGCTTTCCCTCATGTTTGTATATTTTCTGCTGCTAGACCTGGATTTGTATTACTGTTGAATTACTTGTTGCTTGTAGTTCTGCTGATATATATTATCACTTTAAACGATCCGATTCATTCCGCTGGGCTATTTGGTGATAGCATAAACCAAAGCTATCTTCTTTAAGTACTACATGTCTTGCAGGTGTGCCTCCAGATATCCGAACCCAGAACTTGAAACATAACACACATATAAGCACACACTGCAGAATGGATACCAATTCATCTACTAATTTCACAACCATACTTTACCAGTAGACTGTGTTGTGATTATGATTGAATATTTGATTGAGTGAGTAAATTTTTGAGTTATTCGACTTGATTAATTATATTTTATAACTCAAACTTTATTTAAAAAAAATTCGAGTTGAGTTCATGAAATTAGAGTCAAGTTGTTCGAGTTTCTGTTTAAGTTTAATTGTTAATATTTATAATGTCATGGCACTAATTGATTCTAATTTAAATGCCTTTCTATAAACGTATACAATATACATATATATTTTTTCACATGTGATATACATATATATGCAGAATTGAAAGACTCAAACTTGAAAAGCATCATTAATTATTAAAAATTTCAACTAATTAAAGTTCTATTTTATAACTCAAACTTTATTTTAATTTTCCCAGAGTAAGTGTTTGAAATTTCGAGTCGAGTTTTTTAATGTCAAGTCAAATTTAAAAATTCGAAATTTCCTAGTCGAATTTTATTTGCCCGATACCAAAAACCTAAATTGTCCTCTTCAGATACACACACGTCACTCAAGGTTTTGTCAATCTTTAGATGCACCTTGACAGATTCGAACCCGAAACATAACACATATATATAAATGCACTATGAAGAATGATATCACTTGGTCTATTGTAGGTACCCAAAGAAGACAATTGTGGTTTATGCAATCACGGCATGGTCCTACGGGCTAGGCCGGTTTGAGACAATCACTCTTTAGTTTTAACTTTTGATCATTCATCATACACATCAATGTCTGTTTCTGAAAAAGAAAGTTACACATCAATACTTTTTTATGAAAAAAAAGGAAGAAAGAGAATAGTCTCAAGCTTCAACTGAATAAACTTTATGTTATACGAAGTGCAGGACATTCATGGGAATGATGTAAGTTTAAGTGAATACGAGGGGAAAGTTCTTTTGATTGTGAATGTTGCTTCAAAATGGTAATCTACCTGCTTCATCAGTTAAACTATACGACTTGATTCTTTACCATCATGATATAAACCTTTTAGCTATTCATGTTAAAAATCATTTTCCTCCCCGTGGCAGTGGTTTAACGCAATCAAACTATAAGGAGCTCAATATTTTGTATGAAAGTACAAAAACAAAGGTCTGTTAGTTGTCGTAAATTGGGGAATTTTTTGTGTTGTGTCTAATGACTTTTGGATTGAAGCTTATAAATGTTGGAGTGCAGGCTTTGAGATATTAGCATTTCCTTGCAACCAGTTTGCAGGGCAAGAACCTGGAACCAATGAACAGATTCAGGAAGCTGTGTGCACCGTCTTCAAAGCAGAATTTCCTATTTTTGATAAGGTTGTAAATACTTTTCCTTTGCTAATGTTTGTTGTATTATTTCATTGTTTGCTTTTGGATCAAAGTGCACTTAGAATTTATCGTTTCCCTCTTACAATAAGCAATGTCAGTCTCTTGAACTGCATATATAGCTTCCCCCGCTATGGTTCTATCTTATGCTACGCAAACTTATGCTTACATTCTAGTGAACAAGCATAACTAATTAATCTCCGTAGAATGAAAATGGAACCAAATGATTGGTTTACGACTATGACACGGAAGTTTCTCTATTCAGAGCGGAGCATACAAGCCTATGTTTTCTAATATGTCAGATCTGACTATAGGTCGAGGTAAATGGAAAGAATGCCGCCCCTCTTTACAAGTTTCTAAAATCAGAGAAAGGCGGATACTTTGGAGGCTCAATCAAGTGGAACTTCACGAAATTTTTGGTGAATAAAAAAGGAAAAGTTGTGGAGAGATATGCTCCAACTACATCACCCCTCAAAATCGAGGTTAGATTTGTTCTACTCATTGAGAAAGCCTGATGCCTGAAAAAATTGTATAAATTCCATCAAATTGTTCCGATTTTATAATTTACATTCCTCTCTTGCAGAAGGACATACAGGACCAACTATGATCTTCTTGATTGTGAAGATATAGAGCTACTACACCATATAGCATCAAGGAAGCTGCAATGGAATAAATCGTAGAATTTCTCGTTTTCAGATCATGGTAATTGTGGGGATCAGTGATTGCAAGGTCAACCATTGATAATATCTGTGGAGCTTTTACACACAAAGATGGGTGCATTTTGGGATAATATTTGATCAATTGATTGATACTGCTAGTGACCACTCCATGTATTTTGGCATTTTACAATAATATTTGATCACTTGATTGATACTGCTAGAGACCACTCCTTCATGTAATTTGGCATTTCAGACATAATAAATAAATGCAGCCAGACAATGTTGTTTAAGGCCAAATGTTTCGTTTTTGGACAACTTTTGTGATGCTTCTCCATCTTGCTCCATACACAGACCTCTTATGATATATGTCTGCTGCAACTGCATGTTGTAACTCTCATCAATTGCTAGATAGCGGGGAGAAATTAAATAATTAATGGAGAATTCTCTTACATATTATGATTTTAATTTTATTGCTGCTTATTTTAAAAAGTTCATGATAAAATAATAAAGAAAAGAATAAAAGATTAATAGTAGATGCGAAAGGTCTCAAACTATATAAGGTGGAGTCTTGATACAAAATTTTCTAATTTAAAATTTTATGTTCGTAAATATGTACTTAAAAGTTTTTTCTATAGTCTTTCTTATATCCTGTGTTTTATTATCATTCTCATAACTTATTTTTGAAATTATTTTTCTTGTGTTCTTATATTATGATGCTTATTTATTTTTTCATCATTCTTTCACCGATTTCATTACAAATTTAAATAAAAGAATCATTAGTGTATGACTAACGAAAGCAGTTAATTAAGCTATCGACCGAACCAAATTAATTGAATTTTTTTAACTATAATTGAATCAAAATTTTCTTACAATTATTAACCGACTTTTTTTGAAAATGTTTTTAATTATATTAATTTGAATTTAATAAGGATATTTTTCCATTTGAAATTTGATTGGATCTTAAAAATTTAATAAATCTAAATGATTAAAAAATTAGTTAAATCTTAACTCTTAGTAGATTTATATATATATATATATACATATATATTCAATTAATTACGATTTCAAATAAATTTAACCGTTAATCAAATATTTGGAAAAAAAATAATCATTTTCCAACCTAACTAATATCAGTGATCAACTATTCAACTGAACTCATTCAGTTCGATTGATCTAATTCAGTTCTAACAAAAAGTGAACACTACTATGTATGGCATAACAGGAAGCGGCTCCAATTTAAATTGATGAAGATTTGATAAACTGTTTACTTCTTTTTGGTACAAATAATTGTTATACGTACAGAATTGAAGAGCAGTAATGAGAACCCGCCCAACCCCCCAAAAATACTAATAATAAAGGGCCAATTTTGATTGTGTAAGTATCAGTTAGATCATACATTAGGCGTGAAACAATAATAAACAAAGGAGCAATTTCGCGATTTCCCCATCACAGTCCATCCATAGCAGCCTGAAATTCAACAGATATATTCTAATTAGCAGTAATCAAAGTGCCTAACAAATAAATCAAAGGCAGTAGAAAATGCACAGATATTTACTGCCAGATTCAACCAAGAGATATGTCGACCTCGGCAATGCCAAAGTTAACTGAAAGATTCACGTCTTCCAAAATTTGCTTAATAGTGCATCACAAATGTGTCGACCACATGGTTTCACATTTTAAGAGGCCCAACTTTTATGTAAAATATGGACAAGCAAACTGGGAACATGGCTCATGCATCTTAATTTCATAGGATTTTGCAAGGGATAAAGCAACTTTTAGCCCCTGGACTCAACTTGGTCGTTGAACCTTTTTTTGTCGAACTTGGATTTTTGGCCCCATTTTTAGTCCTCCTGATGACATGACAATCTCAGAGCATCACATCATAAAAAGGATCAAAAATGGGAAAAGTTGTCAACTTCAGGGACTAATGTGGACCAAAGAAGTTCAGGGACTAACTTGAGAACATGGGCTAAAAGTTTATTTATCCCTTTTGCTAATTAATTCCCTAAGAACATCCAATGCATTGTGAATAATGAACAAAGTTAACAACTACCACATTTAATACAATGTTACTACAAAAAAATATATTAACCAAGAGAAATGACACTCAATAAAAGAACGGTAATGGTTATACTACAACACCTATCAGTAACAAGATGGCCAACTTGAAGATGATAGATGATCCTCTCCCAAACACAAAAGCATTTGCGACATTCTGAATTGAGAACCATTTAAAGATATGTTCATGGTACATAAAATATTTACTGCCACAAAATTAAGAATGGTTAGAAAAACAGGATGCCGGAGCTGAATTTCAGTAATCAAACAAACAACAATATACCAACCTTTGAAAGAAAAGAACATAAAGAATATATGCAATCTTGTTTGAATCTCTACCACTAATTTTAAATATCTTCTTATAACTCATCTTGACTAGTCATTAATTCATAAGCATATGCCACGACAGGTACTACAACAGCTGACCTGCACATATTCCAGTAAAAAAGGTGAAACTGAGGAAATACAAATTATAAAATTAGAAATGGAAAACGACAAGGGAAGGTGAAAGAATATTGACTTAACATGACAAATTTTACATTTTAAAGCAGGAGTCTTAGGAGTAGCAAACCAGAGGCTGTCAACTACTATGATCCGCTCCATGGTGCTTTAACCACGAAAATCACAAGGAACTAGCATGTGCTGCAGCATTTCCCAGTATTTTCCAATGGAGGTCTCTTAGATAAAATAGTATGAACAAATTAACCACAGGTGGAGTAAAACAGCTTCTGGGGAACAGTGATGCTAAAACAATGGCAAACTCTACTATTGGAATTCAAAATCCGCCTCAATATTTAGTTGGCTTCTCCATTTTTATATAAACTTTGGAGAATAATCACCAAATTATACAACTTAGAACAATTCTGCATTTTATCCGTTATGAATCCCATGTCCTCAATACCATCTTGAGGGGGAAATTAACAGAGCTTGTTCAAGTCAGAAAGCAGCTGAAGCTTGTGAAGAATATACTAAAAATCCCAGATTTATGTTGAATCACACATATGTACCGTGAGTGTTAGAGACAGTATGCACTTAGCCAGTTTTAGAATGCAACTGTTAAGGACTGCAGCAGGAAGAGTTAGCAATTTACTCTTCTTTTTTCAACTCCAGAGCTTCATACCAAAGGATAAACCATCATAACGAAATTCCTTCTGGTATAAAACCATCCTTACCAACCAGATTCCCCCCCCTCCTTTTCTCTTAATGGCTAATGGCTTCCATTGCCAGTTGTACCAGACGTAGCACTCCCACAACATCTAGGAAGTTAAAATCAAGAGCCTTCTTCACAGAAGATATAGCCTCTCCACCCCCTATTGAACTCGAATTGGCAGCCGCAAAAGCAGTTCGCGATTTCCTGGAAGCTTCCATTGCATAATTTGTATCCTGTGCCTGCAAATCATCCATTTTGGTTTTAGTTCTTGAAAGCCTTTGGGTCAAGGTATAGGAGGGAGGAAAGTTTGTGAGAAAGCCAAAAGGAATTTTGGGGCATTAGACCAAAAGGAAAAACATTTTTTGGGGAAAAGGTGTGTGCAATTTATGTTGTTGGGGTGTTTTTTTATTTATTTATTGGTGGGGGGGGGGGGAGGGGGTCTTCATTCACCCTCATACCATATCAAAATCACAAGATTATACCTCCAAATTATAGACAAGAAAAACTAGACTTACAAAATTAAGCAGCCGCACAAAGTTAGGACGGTTTCGAGCAGAAATGACATGATTTCCAGCAACCTGGGGAGAGCTAACACCTTTCGGAAAAGCAATCTTGTCCGGATGGTTTAAATTATCAACATCAGAGGCAGAAGAAGAGGAGATTCACCTGATATGGAAACAAGAACCGATATCAAGAAAAGAAATTCAAATTAACTTCATCAATTTATCTCTATCAATAAAATATTGACATTACTTATAAAGAAATTCAATCTGCATAAAGGAAAATATGAAAGAAAAAGGTCATTAAAGCGCTAGGAAGATAGAAACAGATGAGAGCTTACTTGAAAATATCTATTCATGTACATGGATAAGGTCTGTCCTAAATAGGTCCAACACCATTTTGTAAAAGCTAGTACATCTTTCATGTCAAATAGAACTAGAACACTGATGATTTTCAAACTCAAGTTCACCTAAAATAGAACAGATATGCATGTGTGAACAAAAACAACACAAAATTAATCAGAAAGGCATTTGTCTGAAGATTCTCAGAAAAAGATACCAAAGAACAACTCCACGACATGTAAACAAAAATACATGCACACACTGTAAGCAAACATATTAATCATTCATGCAGTGCAATCAATTTCAGCTATGCTTCTAAGATGCAAACATCTTATGCAGAGATCTTCTCACAACTGAAGCACCAAAATTTCAGACCAAAGGTCAGTGCTCCCCGGTTACCAAGTGCAGAAGAACCAGTAATAATAATATGTGTGAAACAGACTAGCAGGAAGATTTCAGCCAATATAATCACTGGGTTCTTTCAATTACCAGGAGGAACCATTTGCAAAGCTATCTGAAACTCACGTCGGTCTCTATTTGCATTGGTGTGAGAGGAATAGATTACTCTCATATAAGCAACCTCCATACATTTGTAAGCCAAAGAAGCAGAAGCCATGTCCTTTAATCTCTCGTATTCATGGGCACAAAACCTGAATATTAATTGGTAAAGAAACAAAAATAAAACCAAGTGCCAAGAAATGAATCATCCCAAAACAATATGTAAAAACAGAAGATTTTCATATTAACGCTCATACAAGGTAAATCTCCAACAACATCTAGCAACCTAGGATTACAAAAGAAAGAAAACACCGAGCATAGCATCTAATATTTAACTTACTCGCAGAGTTTTGCCGTGCTACTATAAATTTGCATAGACTGAATCATCTCCCCATGCTTGGCAGTTTCACCATTGCAAGATTCTAGTAGAGAAGCACTATGAAGAAACTTCAGTGCAGCTTGGAAGTAAAGTGTGGTGCTCTCCACATTTGATCCAGAGTTCTGGGAGAATATATATTTAGAAAATAAAATAAAAAACTTGATAGAGGCTAGGACAATAAAGCAACAAAAAAGTGACAAGAAAACAGTAAAGTCAAACCTTGACACGATCAGCTAGATGCTTTAAATCTTTAGCTTCCTTCAAAGCATTGGTAGCTGCCTGACTTGACAAATCCTTTCTCATTGGACTTGGGGCATCAACACCCCTGATCCTACGTCCACTAGATGCATGTTTTGAAATACTGTTCTGAGACCCATTCTGCTGATCAGCCTTTTTTATTTGTTTTTGTACTTTCAATGCATCATCATCTAGAGATTCATCAGCTCCATTTCCTGTTTGGGAAACAGAAACTGGGAGGGGGCAACGAGTCAGCATCTCATATTTAGTTCCTCCTGAGGGTAGTAATGGACGCAAGTTCTCTCTCCCAGAAGCAATTTCTGCATGATCAGATTTGTCAGAGTGGAACATCTTTGTGTATTTTTCCCTACTGCCACCCTGTACCAAATTCTGCTTCACAGTAGAGATTTCATCTTGACCTCCAGTGGCATCTGATTTATCATTTGACTGAACAAAATTTGGTTGACTCTCTCTTTTACTACTCTTACCAGACAATTTTCCCAAAGGCTCTTTGTTATCAAAAAATCTATGCTCACTTTCACCAGACTTGACCCCAGGCCTCTCCTGAAATTTGTTTCTACCAACCCTAGGTTTTATCTCATACGAAGACACGTAATCTTGCTGTTTATAAGCAGAATCAGATTTAAAATTAGGAGTCCTGTCCTTTGACCGTGAGGATCCCTTGCCAGACTTTCTTGGACGAGAGATATTGGCATCGCCACAGTTGTCATTCTGATGTTCCTCATAATAGTGTTCATCCATTATTGTTGATTTACAATCATAATGGGCCTCTTGGCCTAAATAATCAGCACTATGATTCATAGACTGCCCTTTCCTGATCTCAGGAGGAGATTCAATTGGTGTCTTTGCTTTACTTCCACCAAATTGGCAATGATCCTTATCCTGAATGTCATGTATAGAGGACTCAAGGGACCCATGTTGAGCTGCAGAAGAAGATTTTTCCCTCCATACTGTCCCTGATCTGTTGCTCCTACCATTATCTTCACCATCTGAGTTTCTTCTTGGATTACCGGCAAGAGAAAGACCAGCATCACAAGACTCATCTCTCCCTGCAACATTCCTCCTTGTTGAAGCAAGTTTGCCAGGATTGGCAATCCTCATAGGAGATGAAGAAACTGATTCCACAGGTGAGCCTTTTGTTTCATTGAAGCCAGGTTTTGATTTCTGTGTACCAGATTTTGATTTACGTGAACCAGAAACCTTAGATGAGCTAGAAGTAGCTGCTAATGAAGGCTGGGCAGATCCAAAATCCCTTTTCAATGAATCCATACCATCTAAACTCCGTTGGGACAGAGAGCTGCCTAGATCTTTCCAGGTCTGGTGATTCTTTGTCTGTCTAGTTCTTTTCTCAAGTTTACCACTGCTTTTACTTGCAGAGGAATCCTTTCCTCCTGACATAGATACCCTGACCTTTTTTTCTCTCCTGTATTCATTCTCGCTGAAATCTTCTTTTGCAAACCCTTTGCTATCCTGGTAGTGACTGTCAATACTTTGAAAGCCTGCATTTGATCGACCATCAATACATTCATCAACTTTCCTCTTTCTTGAAGCTTCACCGCCATCAAAATTTGCCAGTTCCAGTGATTCATCCATTAAGGAAACTTGAAATTTTTCCTTTGATCTATTACCAGATATTTGTTGCCTCTCCTTCTTATCTAACTTTGAATCCTTACAAGAAGAATGTTCACTGTGCTTGGACTGATCCTTTCCTACTGATGCTGTAGGTAAACCATTACCTGTGCTAGGCACCCCCTTCCCACCATGCTCAGACATGCAATCTTCATCAGCAAAATGTAAATTTTCACCCTTAATTTTCTTGGAGGACTTTAAAGAATCTTGATCAGCAGTCCATTTTCCTTTCATCTTTGAAGTTTTGGCATCGCCTGTTCGTATGTTTTATAAACACAACACATTACATAGTTATAAAATAAAAGAATTTACAAGAACAATACGTAATGGTTTAAAAAAATACCTCCATCATAACTGTGTTCCAACAATTTATGCTTATCTTTCTGCTTATTTTTCTTTTTCTTGACAGGCAAATCACGTTTGCTTAGATGATGTAAACCAGGTTCATCTACCACAGGAGACCGAGCCCTATCAGAGAGACTCTTGGATCTGACTGATGACTTCAAGTTATTTTTCATAAGAGTTGGTGTATCTTTATCCATTGCATTTGATATTTCTTTTAAACCATGTTTCTTCCTTCCAGCAGGGGGCATAGCTCGTGAACCAAAAGTTTGATGGTTTTGGTCAGGTTTCTGGGCATCAGCCGAGGGTAATCTAGACATAATATTGCCAGGATTACCTTGATTTTCTACAGCTGGAACTTGATACAATGCAAAAACAGCGTTTGTAGTTTCCTCCTCATCAATACTGCAGTGATTCATTCCAGGTCTAAACATTTACAAGACAAATAATGTTAGAGATTTGAAGAAGGGAGGAGAGATATCTTTCCACCTCTGTCATAAAGTTTACAATCAACCTTGGGTGATGTAGAAAACAGACAAGCAAATGTGGGGTTAGCTATTAAGATCTTATCATGGGTTATACTTAGTATTTTAAAATATCTTATCATTTTTTTTTAATAAAAAGGGAGGCCTCGTTAAAAACCCCCATCATAACCATCAAGCTACAAGAGTGGCTCAACGGACATTGAAAGGAGGAAAAGAGTGCCTCAAAATTTTATTGCATAGATACCAAGTACAAGAGTACAATACCACCAAACGATCTTATCATGGGTTATACTTAGTATTTTAAAATATCTTATCATTTTTTTTAATAAAAAGGGAGGCCTCGTTAAAATCCCCCATCATAACCATCAAGCTACAAGAGTGGCTCAACGGACATTGAAAGGAGGAAAAGAGTGCCTCAAAATTTTATTGCATAGATACCAAGTACAAGAGTACAATACCACCAAACACTACCTGACTACCACCTCAACAATGAACAACATTAAACAACAGAAACAGATCAATGAACAACATTAAAATATCTTATCATTATATTTATATCCTATTAGTTTTTCTTTTTAAATCAAGTTCATTAGTAGAGTTTTAAGTATTTTCTTTGAAGTGCTACGTAGAATAGTAGTTATTGTTCTTCCAGGGCTCAGGTTGGTCGTAGGGTAGTAGCCTATATAAATAACAATGGACTTTCTTTTAAAGGACATATTATGACAATTTTCAGAATTTTTTCTATTCAGACAGTGTGATGCTTAGGAATAACAGAAGAGACTTGCTTATCTGAGCCATTAAGTTACAGTCACAGAAAGTTTGAAGGGGTCACAGAAAGTTTGAAGGGGTGACAATAGAGAACTTACAGCCAGTTAAGCATGATGCAAAGCCACTTCTCAGGTAAGTCGGAAGGATTTATGCTTATTGGAAGAAGGCGCCACTTCTGACACTTATCACAACAAACCCAATTTTCCTTTATCAATACAGGAGCAGCAGTTGCATGGGAGGTTCCAGCAACATTCACTTTGGTAGAGTTAGAAGAACCATCCACAGTTGCTCTTGTGTATGATTCAGTTGCCAATAAATCCTCAATTTTCTTGCCACTTATTATATCACTATGTGCACTGTTAATGGATGATGTATTTTTTCCAATATTATCAGCTGCTTTCAGACGATCATCAGAACAGGTTTCCATTGAACTTTTTTGGTGCTCTTCCTGTTCTGATTCTCCAATATCTCCAAAAAGATCTCTATACCTATCTTCAGCCTTTCGAGATGGCATTTCTAGTTTTAGACCTCCTGGTTCCTTTTTGTTTGCATCAGAATTAGCATGAGCAGATAGCTTATTTTTCAGCATTGAAGAAGAACAAACCCTTAAGCATTCTTTGGGTACCCCTGCAGCGAGACTGACACGACGCTTACTGTCTTTTGATTTTCTTTTTCCACCAGAAGACATACACTCCTCAGTGGAAGGCACCTTCCGATTGTCTTGCTCATCTGATGTAGCTCTCTGGCTGACCTTCTGCTTGGGAGGATCCACCAATTCACAATTCAGAGCTTGGCTACTTTTTAGAGTATTAGAATCAGCTTTGTCAGAATCACGAGTTTTTTCAACTTTGTTATACCCATTTTTTCTAGCATAGCCTGAAACACCATCCACAGCACTTATCTCTTGTTCCTCCAAAACCTTTTGAGAAGAACTAGCCCTTTGATTCTCCCAGCCAATCTCTTGGGTAAGTAATGGCTCCACTGACTCCTCTATAGCTACATCATGGACATCTTCATTTCTTGTTATGCCCTTATTGTTTACCTTGTCAGCAACAGAATATGAATTAGATAAAAGAGGAAGCTTTAATGTTTTCGAAACAAGCCCCTCACAAGCCAGTATGTCACTATCTACTTCCTTCTTTGGCATAATTTCATTGTCATTCCTTATTTTCCTGCCACTCTTCCTTTCTCCTGGAAAATCCTTTTTCTTCACTGACTTTGCTTTCTTGTCTCTCAATAATTTTCCATCACGCTTTCCAGAATTAGATCTATTCTCTTTCAAAATCTTTTCCTTTACAATCAAGTTAAGTAGATGATCAGGAAGAGGAGATAGTAGTGCTTCCTCCGGTACTGGGAAGGAAGTCATAAGCTGCTCAAAAATCCAGGGAAAAAATTCTAACCAGTTCAGGACTTTTGGTGGATTAGATGTAAGAGGATACAAGAAAAGAAAGTTGCTTTATAAAAGATTACAAAGTAAGGGAGGATTTACCCGAAGAATGCTCGTTGGAGATTCAGATAATGGCTCTTGAGACTCCCGATACATCGCTTCACTTTCTGAGGGGCTCTGATCTAAGGAGGAAGATGGTGAGACATCAAGGCCAAGACCACTGTAGATTGCAGCATTCTTTTGCGTCAACATGTTACCTGAACCCATTTTGATTCGCACCTTCAATGTTTTCTGATCTGGCACTGGCAGACTGGTACCTTTCTTGTTTGCAAATTCGCACCTAGAGTCAAGATCATCAACATGAGAAGATATTATGCTGACATCTTCTTTAATCGAATCATTCACATTTGATGTATTAGGAAGGGTTTCAAATTTTGTAGGAGCTCCAGGCCTCAGTGACTGAGAACCACTTGCCGAACATACTGGGTTTTGTCGACCATCCTATATAACAAAAGAATGTAAGCGCCCAGTTTAACTTGGACTTCTCAAATAAACCAGGATCCTGAGATATATTCCTTCTCTATATGAAATAATTATATTTCCAATGGGGGAAAAGAAACATTGAGAAAAACACAACCTCTGTTGTCATTTTTTGGGGGGATCTGCAGCTCTGAACTTTTGGAGGACCTTTCGGAGGAGGCCAACCAGGAGAACGTGTATAAATAGGTAAGAATGACCCATATCCACCAAACTTTGCCCCTGTGAGAATCACGAAAATCCAAAAATCATGAATTTGAAATTAAGAACACAATGGTAAACTATTGACCTCATAATAACCATGATTCTTTTTGTGTTTTTACTAACCCAGATTCTCTGCCGAAACTCCGCCTTCAAAATCTTTTTGAAGATGTCCAAGAACATTTTGAATTTTCTCATCCTTCAAAAACACGACAAAAGTTAAATATCACTAAGAGATTATAAAACACATGAAAGGACACTAGGAACAAGCATCAGAAAAGTAATAAGATTTTGAGAAATATCTGCATACATATAGTTCTCGATGAACAGTTAGCCGTTAATCTTCTAGAAATGGCAATAACAAACAGCAGCTATATAAGCTAAACAATGTGCTAGAATCTTATTCTCCTTATACATATGAAATCCCAGACTTACAGTCAAGATTACCATAATTAAACATCACCAACCTTACACGGAAATAAAGTTCATGAATAATGCCTTCTCGAGTAACCAGAAATCCAACAAATATCAGACAACTGATATTTCTTCTTGAAAAAAAAACTAAAACCATTCATACATCCATACACTAAAAGGCTCCACTAATAGGCAAGGCACGGAAAACAATTCACATAATTAAACATCCTAAAAACTAAACTCCGAAGATATCTGCATCTTGAACCAAAATAACTAGTAAAATTAGAATAACAACCAAAATACCAATCCATTTGTAAAAAGTAAAGACATTTAAATCGTAACTTCGGATCTAAACCCAACCAAAAATATATAGAAAAAGCGAACACAATACATAATCAAAACATTAGTTGAAAACAAAAATGAAAGCTAAGAAAAGAAAAAAGAAGAGGCTTAATTTCTTACTATATATGATAGAGAAGATAGATCATTTTCGGGGTCTGTAATGGCATCACAGTCATCGTTATTGTTATTATAGGAGCAAGCCTCTCCTTCTTCAAGTTCAATTTCAATTTCTTCCATTTCTCTTCCACCAAACTCTAACCCTAGCCCGTTCCTCCCATCGTTATTTCCTAACGAAATCATTCAAGAAAAAAAATAAAATTTAAACAAACAAAAAAAGTAAACCTCACCCCAATTATCAAGCTCTCGAACGTAATTTTTTACTATTCCCACCACCTATAACCCACCAAAACAAAGGATCCTTCGAGCTAATTTCAATCGAGACCAAAATCTAGACAAGGAAACCAAACACCTAACCGGAAATTTTACAACGGTTTAATTTCGAAAATCAAATAAAGAGATTTAAGAACAAAGTTCAATTGGATCTCTCGAATTTTTACTCTTATTTAAGGGATTTTCTGGGGTTTTTTTCTTTTCTTTGAGCGATCTCTTTAACTTGAAATAATTTGCATATGCATAGAAAGAAAAGAAAATCTCCCTCCGGTTTTGGTGCACAGAGAAGCCGCGTTTTTTTTTTTTTTTTTACATTTATTTATTATTTCCTTCGTGTTTTCTTCCTTTTAATCCACTGAGCTAACCAGAGAAACACAGAAGGAGGGTAAATAACTTTCTTTTCCTTTTGGCCACATTCCATAAAAGAGGCATATACTATGTAATTCTATCATATTTAATCCCTCTACTATAATTTATTTATCTTCATAAACAAGTTCTTGTTTGTTTGTTATTCGATTATTACATAATCGAGAATTTTATCATTGTTTGTGTGTTTATTTTAAGAGTTAATTTCACTACACATCCCTAAACTATGACTCTAATTTTAAATTAATATTTAAGTTTTTGAATATTTTAATTTCTTCTTAAATTATAACTCCATTCTAAATTGATTTCTAAACTTTTGAATATTTTAAATACATCCCCAAATGATGGTCATCATTCTATATTGGTCCCCAAGTTTTTGAACATTCTCCCCAAACTTTTAAATGTGTATGAGGGATGTAATCAGAGTATTTAAAATTTTAGAGATTGATTTAAAATGGAAGTCATACTTTGGGAATAAATTTGGAATGTTCAAAAGTTAGGTACAAAATGTATAATTTATCCTTTTAATATTTACTTAATAAAGATAATTTAATTAGTGGTGTGTTTTGATCTATTGTTTTAATGATGTGTAGTTGTGTGTGACTTGTGCGGTATAATTATTCAATAAATTATAGTTTAGGGATTAAACTCGCAAAAAGTAGTAGTATAGAAACTTCCTAAAAGATTTGACCCTTTCTTTTAACTGCCCCTGTCTTGGGGGGGGGGGGGGAATTTTCTTTTTCTTTATTTTCGACCTTTTGGTCGTAACTATAAATCGTTTTGTCTGAAAAATAAATGAACGGCGAGTGATTTCAGACGTTGCTACAACGTGAGTAACACACCACATATCTCACATAGTGAAAGATTAAAATAGGATGAACGAAACTTCACTTTGAAAAAAAAATAAAATTTTGATTTGATTAGACTCGAGAAAAGTAATTTTTTTATTTGATTTGTAAAATCAATTTTTTTAGTCGAATCAATTTTAAAAAATTTGACTTGGATTAATTTAAGTTGTAATTTCATATACTCGACTCGAGTAAAAAATCAATTTCAAGTCAAGTTATAAAATACAGCTCGAATAGTAACTCGAGTAACTCAAAATTTTTAATAATTAGTGAATTGATTTTCAAGTTTGAGCCAAATTTTTCGGCTATGTATAATATATGAAAATAAAAGAATATATATTGTATATGGTTATAAAAACTATTTAAATTAAAATCAAATAATATCATATATTATAAATATTTTAATTAAATATAAACAAAAAAATCCAAGATTCGACTCGAATTTTATAAACCAAATTGCCTCAAAAAAAAATTAAATCAAATTTAAGTTATAAAATATGACTAATTAACTCGAATAATTAAAATTTTTGAGTTGATTTGACTCGATCGAATGCTTACCTCTAAATTAAAATATTCTCTCAATTTATATATAATTTGTTTTATGTATGATTTAGTTTCCGCACTTTAATTTTTAAGAATTTAATTAAAAATTAATTGTTAATATTATTAAATTATTTTATTAAGTTTACTGATTTGATAGCTTAATTTTTTTTTTAAATATTGACTTGATAGGTGTGTAATCAAAAAATAATGTTGCAGTATACTTGAATTTAACATAAAAATTTCAAAGATTATTGGTGTAAATTGTGGTTGTGTCGGCTTTAAGTGGCGTTGTTGATTTTTTTTTTGTTTCGGTAGAAAATTATAAACAGAGATTTTAATGGGTCGAATAAGACAATGAATAGTGACATAAGTTGAGAAAGTGTGTGAGAACTGAGAACAGAGAAAAATGGTTATGCGGTTTATATATTAGCTTTTATTGCAGATGTTAGATATAGCGTTATGATATTTCATGCAATTTGATTATTACATGAGTCTATCAATGATTATCTTAAAAGATTATGATTGTCCGAAGAATTCGATTCGATTCGATCAAAAGAAAGAGTTTTTGTTTTTAGAGGTATTGATTTATAAAGGACTGATAGAGAATGTATAACACTTGTCTCCCTAGCTTAAGGGAACGTAATCAAATAGCTTGAAAGCATCTGTTAATGAAAACAATCTGAGCAGATTTGTTTCAACATAAGTATATATAGCGGAGGGTTCCCGACACTTTGATGAAAAGGTAAAAAAAAATGACAGTATCTCAACGTTATATAGGGCGATAGATGATAGTCGTAGCAGATATATCTCGATTATTTTTGATCGATTTTTGAAAAATAATAAAATATTCCTTTAGTCATGGTGAAGCGAAGATATATCTTAAAAATTTTTTTATTATATAAATATAATTTTTTAATTGAGAGAATTTAATAATTTTTTTTTTTAAATAATATATATTTTTAATATTAATTAATACTTAAATAAATAACTGGCAAAGGCCAATGCTCCTCTTGGTTCCCATTATTTTTTCCGCCAATTACACGCTCTCAGTCAAAGAGTATGAAACTCGATGCCCTCGGTGGAGCACCGAAGGATGGGCCGATGTATCTTCATCTTAACATTTACAATATTCAAATGAACAATAATCGACTCTAGCTAACGCCTATCTTCGATGTTGAAAGCTTGTTCATTTTTCCTTTCTACGTCACTTATTTTCTCAACATTAAGAGATCAGCAACTCTTAAGAGTTTTTTTTTTCTATTAACTCCTTTGCTGCTAATATTGTTACTGTCATTATTATTGGGTCGCCTGAGAGACTTGAAGTTATGCATGTATACTTTGTAGTTTGTTCTGCAAGTCGTGATAAGCGTGGTAGTACATCTGGTTATGCAATTTTACAGTCATTAATAGAAAAAACTAGACACGTCAAAGGATTACGGGAAGACAGTGAGAAGTAAAATTCAAAGGATTAGAGCATGAAAACTGAAAAATACTGGAAGAATAATTTATTACACTCTGAGCATTGACAGCGGTGCAAAATTTTACAGTTTCATCCATAAAAGAAATGGTATAGTGGCTTTGTTTGCATATTTTATTTTGTTTCTGTAAAATATGTAATTTGACAATTCACCAGACACTCAAGATGAAGAGCCTTCGCACTGATCTCGAAGCATTTCGTACTTCTTAAGCTCTGCTATGGAAAGGGATGGCGAAAGCTCTCCCAACACCTGCATATCCGGGCGGATTTTAGATGTTTAGCCGAAAGAGAGAAAAAAAGGCATTCATACGAGATAACCACACATGTAATGAAATCCAAATTCTTGTACATGTTTTTACTCTTACTAAGATTCGTGCCGTACCTTTATAAAATCTTCATATTCTACAACAATGGAATCAGCTTGATCCGTTGAAGATGAATCTGAACTCGACACCTACACAAAAAAGAAGCGGTATAAGAAACAAAGACAACGGTTTTATAGGCTGTGCTTGCAGTGTACCTAATACATGATAAGCTAAAATTCAAGGTACATTGTCTTGACATCGATGATACAACACCTTAACAGTGATTCTTATTCACCTTACGCTTTGCAGCATGAAACCAAGCATCTGCACACAAGGCATACATATCTGCACCTGTGAAGTTAGGTGGGAATCTCTTTGCAATCGAGTAGAGGGATATATCTACGTGCAATGTGAACTTTCTGGTAAGTGCTTTAAGAACTCTGGACCAAGAGAGGAATCAGCCATATAAAGAGAACGAACCAAATTAAAAGCATACAAGCATGAATGGAAGAAAAGATTCAGAGATATGAACTAACCGCTCTCGTAAGATGCGTCAGAATTAACTCCAACATATAGCAGTTTGTCGAATCTACCAGGCCTTAGAAGAGCTGGGTCAATAAGTTCTGGTCTGTTGCTTGCCCCTATAATAAATAGGGTCCTGGAGAAAGAGAAGTCTCATTGCTATTTGGACAAAAAAGTAAAGGTAATATAATATTTTCATAACAAGAAGCATAAATACCTGGCTAGAATCATTAAGGCCATCAATCTCTGCAAGCATCTAGCAATAAGAGAAATTTGTCATGATTAGCAAAAGTGAAACTGAAGAGAGCTTATCAATCAATGTCATAGCAAGAGTGTCACTGGAAACCTGAGAAACCACTCTGTCCATAACACCCCCAGAATCTCCAGAAGCACCTCGAGCAGGAGCAAGAGAATCGAGTTCATCAAAGAAAATGACACATGGCCGGGCTGATCTGGTCTGCAAGATTAAAATATTATAATGATGAAAGGCTGTATGCAACCCAATTTACCAACGAAAGGAATTACATAAGACAAGCTGAAAAATGTCTCGAACATTCTTCTCCGACTCTCCTATGTACATGTTAATTAATTCTGGCCCTTTCACGTTAAGGAAATTTAAAGAAACTCAGTTGCCACAGCTTTTGCCAACAAAGTCTGACATTTAAAGCAGATAGAATAAGAACAGGAAAAAGAAAAGCTACAGAAGATATTTAAAATATATAATTGCAAACCTTATCATCCACATTACCTTCAAAGAGGGATGCTAAAGTATCTTTTCCTTTATAGACAAGAGATCTCAAGCACGATATGTGTAGGTTAAGGTTAAAAGCTAACAAGGGACACATCGGCAACATCTCGGTCCAATAATACAGTCACTGGGAGGATAACTGTATGATGGAAAGACAAACATTGTACGCGAGGATCAGAAATCGATTCTTTCTTTGAACGTGTCGACATGGCATTTGGAGGATCTTAAACAACAATCTGAGCAATTCTTTGTATCTTTGCGTCCAAGTTTCTAACAGTACCTAAAAGAAATGTAAAGGGTGGCGTAGAAGAGCTGAGGTCAGTCGTTATAACATTACAAGAACATTGCTTCTTTATTTGCAATGATAATCATCATCATTATTACATTGCAAATTTGAAATTACTGTATAAAACTCCATGTTCTACTAACAGTCAAGTTTAAGATTCAGAATTTGACTCTGAAACAAGAGAAATCCCAAACGCAAAATAAAAATTCACTTTACAGTTTTCCTAGAAAACAAACCCAGCAAGAGAAGTAATTCAAGAAAGTCAAGCAACAAAGGCACACTTCCATTAAGCTAAAAAAAATAATAACTCAAACTCACCAGCGAGCCAGAGGTTACGGATAGTCTCTTCAATGTAGAAGTAGAGAGCCCTATCAAAGCAGAATTGTCAAGTGAAGGTAATTTGGGATCTGAAACATCAAATTTGTCCTTCGAAACCCTTAGAATTCCCGCCTTCAACGCAAACCGTCACCAGAAAGATTAGTCGGATCGGCTTCATTGAGTCGTAGAACTTAGTACCGAGTTGACGAAACTTTGGTGGAAGAGAGCACAAGCGCTTCCTTCTTCCCACCATCCTGAAAACCCGACCGCCAAAACTTGGAACTCGATTCAATTATGGAAATTAGTTAGTATTATATATTGAGAAATGGGGAAGTTGAGGCTGAATGTTTGGTTATTTCTCGGCCGAGCTTTGAAGCTAAAAGCTAGTACACTACACACACTTTTAAGCCGGTGCTAACTAAGGCCAATCGGCCCAATAGTGACCCGATAGATGTTCGGTTAAAGAATCCATGCTCAACTAACTTTGGACTGAAGCCTAAGCCTCCCCTATGGGCTATGGACGCTCTCACTTTGTGAGGAGTTGGGTCAGGTTGAATCCGAATTAAATATATATTCATATGTTTCTATAATTATATTTTAATCAATAAATAATAGTTCGAATTCATTTAAAATCATAAAGGCTCAATTACTAAATAAGTGTCCAAACTATACCGTTTTTCTCAAATAAGTATTAACTTTTTCCTCGATTCGTCTAAGTGTCTAACGTTACAAATGTTACTACTTTAGGTTTTCCGACCATAACATCTATTAAAAAACTACATTAATGACATGTGTTACATTCTTGTAACTTTTCTTAAACCCTAAAAAAATTAAAAAAATTATTATATTGGAAATAACCTTAATTTCTCTAAATCGCAAAAAACCCTAAACCCTAAAATTCTAAATCCTTAACCCTATGTCGTCCTCTTTGTTGGTTACCACCCCCGATGTTATCCTTGCTATCTTATAGTCAAACGTCATCATCCTTGTCGTCGATTAACAGTAGAGATCATGTGGGGTTGCGCTTTGTAGCGTCGAGATACACACATCGATTGGACATCGCTTGGCTCTTGTTTCAGTGACTTTTCGTGGGGTTATCGGTAGTCGGGTGGAGGTTCATCGATTGGCATGCGTGTGGGTTTAGGGGTTGAAATTATAATTTTAAAGTTTTGGGTTATTTTATAAGTTTTTCAAAAAATTTAGGTTTTTTTTAAATATAATAATATTTTTAATTTTTAAACAAATTTTATCAGAACGCGATGTGTATCTTTCAATGACATAATTTAATAGCTGTTACGGTCGAGACACCTAAAGTGATAACATTTAACATTATACACCTGGATGAATAAAAAAAGTTTAAATACCTATTTAAAAAAAACAATATAGTTTGGATACTTGATGTATTCTAAATAAGCAAATCACAACTGGTATAGGTCTCGGTGAATTTAAATACATTTACACATAATTTTGTTAATGTATAGGAAGCCAAAAGTTTAGCAAATGATAGGTTAACACTTTGAGTGGCTACACCAATACTTCATGCATTATGCTACTTTTTTAAGCATGTCTCGTGATTAATTTCAGGTGCTACTCTAATGATTTGTTTTACAAAAATACTTAAAAGCAAAGGGAAAATGTTTAAAAAAAAATAAAGGAAAAAACAAATACTTTAAGCTTTTGCCCCTCACTCCTCATTCCTAAAAAGTCCCCATGGAATAGCACAGAGCAAGAAAGCATAAAGCTAACAAGAAATGGGGGGAGGCAAAAAGTTGCAATCATTTTGGCAGATGATGAGCCAGCATTGTGGCTGATTAAAGCTTACCACTTTCTGTAATTGTCCATACACATAAAGGCATGACTTGATGGGATCATTATTACACTTGATCAATTCAATCTTAGCTCATCCTCACGAGTACACACATACAATACTAAAATACCCCAATAAATTTCAGGGTAAATTACAAGCTTGATCACCTTCGTCTTTATTTTATCTAGTTTTGATCATTAATTTTAAAAAGGTTATATTTTGGTCACTTATATTGCCAATTTATTATATTTTGGTCATTGAGTAATTAAATCTCATTACCTTGACTATGTAACACGTTAAAAACGATTAATTTCTATTTGGACTCTTGAACTTGGATAAATGTTAATTCAACCCTAAATTTTAGACAAATTATCAATTTGACTCTGAAATTTGATTAAAAGTTCACTGTCATCATCTATCGCTTATCATCATTGTTGCCCATTGTCGGTCGCCATCATCAATGGCATACAGACCCAAAATTTCCAATTTACCCCTTTTGGTTTATGAACTGAAAATTTTAGGAGCCAATCACCACCAACGACGATGCCCGACAACGATGGTAAGTTTTGATCGACGAAAAGGGACTTGGTTAATTTCTGGTCAAATTAATATTTTATCTAAAATTTAAGATTAAATTAATACTTTATCTAAATTTCAAGATTTTAAATTATAAAATAACCATTTTCAACATGCTACATCGTGAAAGTAACTTGAGCTAACTACTCAATGATAAAATTTAAAAAATCAATAATGTTAATGAACAATATAATATATATATATATATATATATTAAAAAAAATGATCAAAATTAGACAAAATTGAAACAAATGGGACCAAACTTGTAGTTTACCCCTAAATTCATGTATAAAACTTGAGTGATTAGGTAAAGTGGAGCTTGAAACAATAAAGCAAAACAAAAACCATTATCATTTTGTAGTTACAAGGATTGAATTTGCCCCCATTTCTTTCAATGGGGTTTTAAATTTGTCATATTTAATCAGTGTCACCCTCTTTAAGGCCAGTAAAAAGATGTTTGTCCCAACTCACACTCCAAAAACCTACAAATGTTTGCACTAAAGTTTGTTTAGAGACGAAGGAATGAATGTCCTAAGATTTTGGAGAAATTCAGGAAAACTATCTAGTGACTGTGGCAGAGAAGTCCATTATTTAAGGCCTAGGCTTCTAGCTTCATAGGACTGAAATAGGCTATATTATATATATATATATTATATATGTGTGTGTGCATTCTCTGCAAAGTTTAAAGCAAGTTCTTCAGTAATGTGCTATGGACAGAGGAGAGAGTGGTAGCAATTATAACACTTTAATCCAATTCAAAAGTATTGCAAAAACCATCACCATACCCTTCAATCCTGCATGAGTTCATGACACTTATACCTCACTCCACCTTTTTTTTTCCCTTTCCACGACAGAAAGATCATTAAGAGAAAAACAAGAGAGAGAACCACTCATCAGTGAGCCCTCAAACGAGCTGTCTGCTGCAGAAAAAACCATGAAACTATTGAACTGAAAAGGAGCAATATTGATCTTTCAAAGGCGCCACTGGAGTTGGAATCTGAATTTTACTGGTTTTTTTTTAGATTATGGTGTTGTTACTATTGCTGAACTGAAAAACGGTTTATCTGGGAAGAGATCTTTTCGTCCGAATTCAAGTACAAGGCATGCCACTGAATGGTATGGTACAAGTACAACATTTTTTTCCTGTTTGTTTCCATGAAGAAAAAAAAGCTAGCTTTGTTGCAGGGTAGTTTTAAGGTTACTTTCACAGTTTCACACTTTCACCTACATATGATAGTCTATTTTCACTCATACATCTCGAATTTAATTCGGAAAACGATATTTTCCAACTCTATTCTTTAGTTCTGACAAAACCAACAACAGATTTATTGCTGTTGTGTACTATTTCCTAGGTGATCATATATATGCAAGAGTGCAACCTTCTTTGGTTGGTTTCTGTTTAAAGTTTGAGCATGTTCATAGATGCTTCCAGTCAGTTATCTGCCTCATCTAAGGGCCCTCTAATAGACAGCACCACTTGCTGATAGCCATTGAGACAGTCGGTGTCGAATGCGACGGGTTAACGCCTTTTCGAGCTGCGATCTCGACCTTATATGTCGTTCCACTTCAATCAACAACGACAAACATGTACGAGAAAAATCGTACACGCAGTACTTTTTAGCCTGACAAACCTTCTTGTTTTCTCACCGATTAATGCAAAACAAAACAGCAACTCAAAAAATAACTCTGGTTCAGCTTTTATTGCCTTACTCTTGCTGTTGAGAGCAACACCACTCATGTTATAAAATTATGAGTTGTCAGTTTTCCAACACGGGGCCTCCATTGTCGAACCAGAGAATCAAGACAAACTTTGTCCAAATCTTAAACACGTTCTCAATGAAAACAAACAGTTGACCGAACTGGTGGAGGGGAATTTATGGTTTCAAGCATTGGAATGTAGGATTATGGGAAAAAACTAGGTTGGA